CCCCAAAACCCCAAAACCCCAAAACCCCAAAACCCCAAAACCCCTTAAAAATTAATGTAATAGGAATATGAATAAATTTATAAATACTTTTTAAAAATGGAACAAAGGAAAAGTCAAGATGACAGTGAATTAAAGGAGCTAAATCCTTCTACACCCACCAGTTTGGTAGATAAGAAAGAAATTCAACTTAATGAAGGTTTTGGGATCGAGAGGAGAAAAATAAAACAAGGTACCAAGATCATTAAATTTCATATTTTTGAAAATTTAGCATAAATAGACTCCAATGCTAATTCTAGTGATTACTAATTTTCACAATGTTTTCTTGTTTTGGTAACAGAAAATATGTGATCCAGTAGGATATTATCTTTAAGAACTATGAATGATTTCATATAAAGAATTTATATGAGCTTGTTACATTGATTTCATTATATTTAAAGCTGGGCTTGAACACCCTCTTCATGCCACCTCTAAGTCTAACTCTCTTTATATAGCCAAGAAGTTCCTCAAAGTTGGATGAATGTTTTTCAAACTGAAATCATTTATACTATTACTAGAAGGCGGTTTATTGTTAATTATCTTACTTCAGCTTATGCTTGGGTTCCTTGCAGATACTGTTATTACAGCTGTAGTAATTTCAGCCACTCTGGTGCTTGGGATTCTCCAAATAATCACTATTCTCATCGTTTGGTAAGTAAACCAACTATCTATATTTAATCATGCTCCAAGTAAATCAGGTGTTTTACCAACAATATTTTGATAAATTTTGTGAGTAATGAAATTTAGAAAATAAAAACAGTTTCTCCTTTCAGCTAGTGAAGGCTAACAAGAACCTTGAAGAGCAAGACTTTGATGATGGTATATTTCTAATTTTACCCATTTCTAGTCAGAGATGAAACTTCAGAAAAGCCTTTGGAAAACCAAGGTAAATCAGACTATATGATTGCAAACTAAGATCTCAATAACCCATTTCTGAGTTTACCTGTCTATAAAATATTTCTAATTCTACAGTGCCAAATCCTCTCATGTATAGAATACAGCAACCCTGAGGAAGGAGATGGGCTCAGGAAATTAGACTATCTTCGCAAAAAGAGTAGAGTTTTCTTCTAAGACTATAGGATTGTTGCTGGTCCTCAGAAATGAGAAAGAAGAACCAAACCCTGAATATGTTGAGAAAAGGTTTTCTAATAATTCAGAAAGTAAGCCAGCTTGAGCTAACAATAGTTTTTAATGATGGCAACGAATTGTTTCTCCAGAAATTAATCAGTCATTCTGAGGGCTCAGCTAAATCAAGTGAGGAGCAAGGTGATTTTATATAATAACCGTGCAGGAAATACAATGGAAAGAGTCTTTGAAAGTCTCAAAACAGTTAGAGATCGAAGGATCCGAGATACGCTTGAATCTCCTGATTTTCGTACTATTTCTTCGAAACAATCATTTCAAGAGATGTCCTTCGCTGGCTCAAGAGGTTCTGGTTCGATGAATTTCCGAAAGAGGAAAATTGGCAGTATGTCTTTAATTTTTAAACTTCTTAGAGTCTGACAAAAATCTATTCCAGAGGAGATCGGATATGTTCTCATTCAGTAATGAAAATATTGGTTCGATAAAATCGTTCCTTTCCTCGAGGAAGAGCACTAGCTCTGCAGGAGAAGATCTCGCTAAAAGTAAATTTTTGTGTAAATCTTAGGCAAACTACTTACAAGAGACTCGAGGAAGAAAGTAAGTCTCATAGAAAATGTTTAGAAAACACCTGATTTCATTGCATCTAAAACTAGGAGGAGGAACAGCCCACGAATGAGCAGAGGTGGAAAGAGAAGAATGGGACAGTTCTACAAGACATCTTACTTCAAAATGCAGTTAAAATAAAATCGCTGAAATGCCTGAGGATGATAATGAAGAAAGTGAGGAAGATAAATCAGCGACAGAGAATAAATCAAATTCATTTACAGTATCCAATGATGCTAGCATTGCAAATGATGCTAATAAATCCAATGATGCAAGCAAATCTAACGATGCAAGTAAATCTAATGAAGCTAGCAAATCTCTTGAAAATACAAGGTCTAATGAAGGAGCTACAAAATCTAATGATAATCAAGAACGATCAAGGGAGGAAGTGAAATTACAGACAAATAGTAAGGAGGATTCTTGCTCAAGTTCTTCAATCCCCTCAAGTGTTACCCAGAGCAAGGTATCTACTATATATTCTCCAATTGAAGCATTTCAAGAAGCAGAGAATACGAAGAGAGTTAGTAATATATCGATAGAATCTTTGAAGAACTATCATCAGCGAAAGAGTGATGGTAGGTTAAACCAGTAATTTATAGCAATTACTCTATACTCTCAACATAACGATAGCGTTGCTATTGCTAACATGGGAGGCGGGAGTCAGATGTCACTTAACCATGATGTCTGGAAACAAGACACTAACAGAGTGCATCCTAATATTTTCAGAAACGGAGCTCCCTCCCGAAATTCAGCTTCAAGTGAAGCTTACACATTTATGTCAGCTCCTAAGTTCGGTGGGCCAAAGTCAAACAGTGAGAAAGGATCTGTTGCCCATTCATTTAGGTCTCCTAACTTCCAGGTTGATAAAAGACATCAGGAATTTATAGAGTCTTCTAAGCAGAGCTCCATGCGAGAATCTGAAGGTGATCAAGAAAGCTTCCATTTTTAAAAATACAAGTAGGTTTTAAGACAATGTATTATAAGTATTCAATTTTTACTTTTGGTCTCGGGGTTTTGGGGTTTTGGGGTTTTGGGGTTTTGGGG